AAAGGGTTCTTTTCTCTTTTGACTATGCATTCCTAGCTGCATAAAAGCAGTACGAAGTGCCTTAGTTTTGCCTCTCTATTGCACCAATAAAGGACTTAAATTATGTAAATACAGCGGTTGAACTGGCTAAGTACAGCAGTGAGATCTGCCCTTCAGTTATGGATGCTGTCTTTGCTCTGGGGAAAGGAATTTGTTTTCCAAGCTTTCATGCAGCTACTTTACATGAGCACTGAATAGTTTAAAAAATATATATGTCTGTGTAATGAGGCAAGGCAAAGGAAAAAAAGGAAGTGCAACACAAAGCCAAATTTGCAAGAAAAAAAGAAAAAAGGCTGAATATCATAGGGTTAGAGTTAGGAAATATATTTCTAAAATAAAATAACATACCCAAATTTTAAAGACAAAGTAAATAATTTGCAGTGCCTCATCTTGAGCATTTTGAAATAGGCATTTTTAAGAATACCTCAAGCACAGCATCCCTCTTGGGACCCAGAAGTTCTTGCAATAATTCATGTTACGTTTAATAGATAAGTTACAGAAATAAAACTGTTTGTTACTTCCATTCTCTACCTCTGGAAAAGCAGGGAGGCAGGAATTATAAATATTTTACCAGCTTGAAAGCTCCTAGATTGTTGTTTTCTTTTAAGCAAATTCTGGCTTACCTCTTCAAAAATGAAAATAACAGTGAAATGACAAAAGGGAGAAATGGTGATGTATTTGGAGTATATGAGAGATAAAAGTCAACAGAGAGAAAGGAATAAAACCAACCAACAGTAGGTACTGGGAAAAGTAGGCAGGAAAAAGCACAGGAGTATAAATACAAAAGACTGCAAAGGCATGGTTCAATGTCAAAAGCTATACAGGTCAAGATGTATGACATATGTTTGCTTTTGGAGAACTAGGGTTTGTTGACTCAGAGACATGTATTTCTCCCCTGGACAGGATTCCATAGCACCTGAGATGTAGCTCTGGATGAACGGGTGTCAACAGTAAAATAAAAGGAGGGTCGGGGCGAAATCATGTTGGAAGAATGAATGAAGCCAAAAGAGTAAAAGACAACTGTTTATGTTAGCATGATGCTTCCCCAGGAATTAGCTGTCAAAGTCCTATCCTTCCTACACCCCCACTTCACAGGCTGCAACCGGGGAATGACTGGGAATGTGATGAGTACCTATCTTCCAGTTTCCGAATGTGATACCTATCTTCCAGTTTCCGAAACCAAAGGAACAAAATCATTTATTTCACCTGTAGCAAAAAGACCAAACAATTGCAAGAGCATACAGGGTGTCTTTCCTCTTCAATGACAGTTTGAGCTTACAGTTCAGACACTCCACATGCCCATTTAAAAATCACTTTGACCCACCTGTACACAAACAACTGAAACACATTTCTGTCATTCTGGTGGTTAACGAGGAGCACCATAACCAAGTCAGCCAAATAATGGAAGTGACACTAACTCCTCGAGATGCCATCAACTGATCAATAAATAGTAACTTTAGATTATCACTTGGAAACTGCTTCAAAAGAACGCTTTTTAGTCAGAAATTACCTGTTTTCATTCTAAATCCCTTTTCATTGTAAAATCAACAACCTTCTGCAGTCCAAACATCACAAATGTGCTCAACACCATTCTCATAGTCTTAGGGTTTGTTTTTTTAATTAGCCTCCAGAGGATGAGTAATACTTTTCCAGTGTAAGTGCTTTTTAAAAAACAAAGTCTACCTTATTATTATAAAAATAAATTATCATTGCCACCCTCTACTTTGATTTTCCTTAAAAGGAGAGTGCAAGTGATACAAGAATGACTCAAGACCAGCAAACACACACACACAGAGAATTTATATAGTTACATAAAGCTGAAGATTTTTCCCTGCTTCAAGACTGCCAGTTAGAATAAGCACCAATTATATATAAAAAAATGCTGCAGCTTGACTAAAGATGTCGTCCATCACTCCAAATAAGCTCAAAGACATGACAGAAGCTGTAGTGTTCAACTTTGGTAGGTACACATAACTCACAGTAGTAATGAAATTGGAAGGTGATGAACTGCTAGAAGCTCATCCTGCTTTAGCAGTTCTGAATCATGCAGCTGCAGAGAATACTTCTCTCTGAAGCAACCAAGTGTTAAGACATCTAAATAAGCTATAAACTGTAGCTTAATAAATAAGTTTCACAATCATGATTATAAAACATTACAGTTTTGATCCCACATTTACACTGTGGTATTTGCAGGCAGTCCAGCACTTCCCTTCAGAGGCTCTGCTGAAGGTGATGAGGCTGCACAGAGATGCAGATATCTGCTCCCACCCAAAAGCTTTCCAAAATTAAGCCTAATCATGACACACAGAATAGAGTAGTATTGCATCAGGACTGCGTGCTATCAGGTTACACCTTTAACACCCCTTTAAAACCAGGAAAGTAAACACATTTGCAGTATATGGATATCATATTGACTGTTATTCAGCTACTCAAAGCATATTCAAGCAGCTTTGTAATGTCTGCATAAGATTTACAATTAAAGCATCACGCTAAAGTAACCTGAAGCCCACTGAAGACAATTCATTTGCCGAGCTCACAGATATATTCAGCAACTGGTCACCTGCTGAGCATTTTTACCTTTACTACTATCAGTATGTTAACATGGTCTGCATTTAACTGGTGCAATTTATGGTTTGCTAACATCACTGGCATCTTCCTGGAAGACACCAAGTAACGAATGACTTTCGTCATTCAACTGTATCACTCATCAAAGTGAACATAATTTCTGAAAGCAGCACTGAAGCTTACTTATACATAATAGTTTCTAGTCAAGAAAATAGTAAGAGCTGTTAATACATAATTTGAAGATTTTTTTTCCTGCCACAAGCCAAGCTACTATAGTTTAGAACAGGTAAAACAGCATTAACACTTTAAAAATAATTCAATTATTACTACAGCCAGTGTTTTTGCAGTGTGAGCATCTGGGAACTCTTTAAAAAAAGTAAGTCGAAGCATATTGTCCATTTCATGTGCCTAATTCTTTCTTGCCATACATATTTCATTTAGCCATTCCAACATAAGTGCAAAAATCAGTATATCTGATCTGCTGTCACCGTGTGTCCACTTTATATAAATGAAAAGGACTCCAGAAGATTCAGAGCAACAGAGAAAAAAGCCCTAGGAGGACATCAAAAGCTTGCTTAAAGAAAAACCCAAACTTCCAAAACTGATACAACTTAAACTAAGACCAAACTCACATACAAGTTATAATCACAAACAGAAAGTAATGCTGTTACCTAGCGGTGGAAAGCTAGGTATATGCAAAACTGCACATGCTAGGTATATGCTCTTGGTTTTGGCTTTAGTTTTTTATTGGGTTTTGGTTTTCATTTTCAGTTAAAATCATGCCTAACCCATGAACTGATGAAAGATACTGCTTTCCTTGCATTTTCTGTTACAAAAGGTTACGAAAGTATTTTTGCACCTGGCAGTTTTGATTCTCAGCAGAGTAACTCACAGACAAGAAGGTACATAACTTCCCGACCATCCCAAACCTGCTGTTTTACACTCTTCTTGCAACATCAGCAAGAGCTGGAAACCTGTGGCATGAAAACCCTACAACCTTAATCCACAAACATCAGTTTTCCACAGTGTGATAACCAAAACTGGATCCTATGCCCCCAGCATCTTATCAGGTAATATTTTCAATTATATAAACCAACATTAGCTGAATTCAGTCAGCATTCTCCATGATATCTGGCTAAACATGATTAGTTTCCTTTCAGTCAGAAAACAGGTAACTAGAGAAAGATAAGGAAGATACAAAGACTTTAATGTCACTTACTCAAATGCAAAGAAGAGTCCACTGGTGACCAAGATGAGAACAAGAGTCAGATAGAAGACTCCAGTCTGTCGAGCCATCATTATCCTCCCATTGCAGAAGAATTTGTTTCTTCCAGGAAAAACCTCCCATTTTCTCTTGGGAACCGATTTCTTTTTCTTATGGGGAGACTCCATGGGAGACGAAGAGCTGTGTGTGCTGATCTGACTGTATTCACAGTCTTTCATGGGCCCACTACTACCTCCAGGAGTCATCAAGGGAGAGTAAAATGTGGGGAGAACCCCACCAAAAATATATACAATATATAAATGTGTGCAAACAGTCTTCCGACCAAGACAGCCCTCTCCACCAGCCCCAGTTAATTAAAAAAAGCAAATAAAAAGATGAAAAAAGAGTCTCTACCAGGCTAGCAATAGGTGTATCATGCAAACACCACTTAACTCCTCAGAAACCAAAGCTGTCACATCAGAAACGCTTGACAGGGATCCTTCCTTCAGCTTCCTCCATCAGTTACAAAACCACCATGTAAGACAATCCTTTTTAAAACAACTTATCACAAAACAAGAAAAAGGAAATTAAAAAAAAAAAAGAATTATAAAGCAGTTAGTCTGTCCAAAAAAAAATTAGTCTTTTTTTTTTCAAGTTTATTTTCAAATGGGAAGATTGTTCTTTCCTTCCCACGCGCACCCTGAGAGAGCTCTCCGAGGGTCAGAAGGTTGGTCAAGGCAAGGTTTAGCAATCGAGTTTAGCATTCATAGAGATTTGTTATAATCCTCCTTCGCGCAGCAGATTTCACTGCTAAAAATGACCATTCCTAAAACGTTCCCTCAAGAAAGGCGCGGAACAGATCAGTAAGGAGGAGGAAAAAACGAAGGGGGGGGAGAAAGGAGCCAGGCTGCAACTCCAGCTTCCGAGACACTTCAAGCGCTCTTCTCCCTGCCGCCGCAGTTAGTCCAGGGCGAAGCGGCCGCTGCTCGCCGCAGAGCCGGGGTCGCGGGTCTCCCCGCCGCGGGCCCGCCTCCCTGTCACAGCTCCGCCGCAGGGAAGTCTCCCGAACCCGAGGCAGCGCGGGGCAGAGCCGGTCCCCGACAGACACCAGCGCCCGGAGAGCAGGTCCTCATCCTCTGCCCCCTCCCCGCAGAGCCGCTCCCCCGCCTCACGCTCCGCGCCGCCGCGCTTAACCCCCGCCTCCCCTACACAACAGGTCCCAGCCGCCGCCTCATGCTCCCCAGCGCCTCATCCCCTCGGAGAGGGCGGCCGTGCGGAAGGGACGTTGGGGAACGGAGAGGACAGGGAGGCTTCGCAGCCGGTGGGAGATCTCTGCGGAACTTCTCCCGCCCGTCACCATCCTCGCCTCCCGCCTCACGGCCGCCGCGGGCGGTCGCACGCTGCGGCAGCGCAGGCTCTCGCTCACGGCCCGCGGCGGTGCCGGGTCCCCCCCCGCATCCTGCCCCCGCCCCGGCGCACAGGAGCGGCTTCCCGCCGGCGTCTCTGGTTCGGCTGGGCTTTCGGCCGGAGCAAGGTGAGGAAAACGCCCGGCTCCCCTCCGCTAGCTGGAGAGCGGCGGCTTTCTCTCCCCGCTTTCTCCACAGTCTCTATCCAGGCTTCTCCCCAGCAGCCAGACCCAGAATCAGCAGCTGCCGCCTCCTCATCTTCAGGGAGAGGCGGCAACCACCGCAGCGGCGGCCGCCCGCGGGAGGAGGCGGCGAGGGACGGGACCACACAGGCGGACACCCCCTGCCGCGGTCGGTCCGTCAGTCAGCTGCTTCCTGCCGAGGGGGCAGGCAGGTCACCCGCACCAGCAGCGCTGGGGACGCCGCGCCGTCGATGCAGCCGAGCCCAGCCCTCCCTCCGGCTGGTGGAGCGTGGCGACAGCACTAACTGTCCCCCATCGCCGCCTCCGCCACTGGGGTAGCGGCCAGCCGTGCGGGTACAGGAGTCCGGGCCGGGCGCGGTGCCTGCGCTGGAGACCCGCTCCCGCCGCCTGAGCCCTCGCCGCCCCCGGCACGCGCGCACACAGGCGCGAGCGATGCCTGCCGTCAGCCCCGGGCGGAGCCGACCCGTCCTGGTACTCGCCCGCGCGACACGACCTAGCGGGACCGGCCTCCCTCCCCGTGCTGGCTCGGCCGCGGACGCTCGGGGAGCCCCCCTCCGCCTGCTGGGAGTTGTAGTTTCGCTCGGCAGCTTCCGTGAAGGCGCTCCGGAGGCGGGAGGACCGTAGGAGGGACTACAAGCCCCAGCATGCCTTGCGAGCGGCCCCGGCGGGAGGGGGTGGTGCGGGAGCGCCGGCAGGGCCCGGGGTGAGGTGAACGCAGAATCGGCGGGCTTGCCGCGAAGGCGGCAATACCTGCTTCAGCGGGCCCGAGGTGTCTGAGCCGGGACCCGCCGTACCCCGAGACGGCCCTGCCGTTCCCTCCCACCTGCCCCCGCGGGCTGGGACGGCCGCGGCCGCAGCTTGTGTGTCTGTTAGGCCTGAGGCTACAGCCCCCGATCCATGCAGCCAGGCGGTGCGTTGTCCTCCGCTGCTCCCTGGTCAGCCATCGAAACCACATGTGCCTGTCTCACTCACCCAAAGCCCACTGGTGAGATGGCCACCAGGCGGATGTCCCTACTAATGCCCGTACACGCAAACGTTCCACTGCTTTAGCAGTGGCATGCTCGGTTACAGGCTTGTCCACCAACACCGGTGTGTTTGTACGGACCTGTACTCTGTCCTGACTTCATGAGGCACAGGCCAGAAAGGTACAAGCCGCTAAGGAAAAGCTTTTCAGAAACGCAGTCCTGCACTAAGCCGTTATTGCACAGTATTATCCTGGTGAAGAATGGCACTGGTGGCAGGAAGCCCAGGGAGGGAGGCTTCCCACAGCTACTCTCAAAGCTGCTTGCTGTTCTTTCTGCCTACTATGGTGTCCCTGTGCATTCAAAGAGGTCAAGCTGGTGAAGGGTCTAGAGCACAAGTCCTGTGAGAAGCAGCTGATGGAACTGGGATTGTTTAGGCTGGAGAAAAGGAGGCTCAGGGGAGACCTTATCACTCTCTACTACCTAAAAGGAGGTTGTATGAGGGGAGGGTCGATCTCTTCTCCCACATAACAAGAGATAGGATCAGAGGAAATGGCCTAAAGTTGTGCCAGGGAAGGTTTAGACTGGATGTCCAATCCAAAGGGCATCCCAAAAGGGCTGTTAAGCATTGCAACAGGTTGCCCAGGGAAGTGACTGAGTCACCATCCCTGGAGGTATTTAAAAGATGTGTAGATATGTCACTTAGGAACATGGTTCAGTAGTGAACCTAGCAGTGCTGGGTTTACAATTGGATTTGGTCTTAAAAGGTCTTTTCCAACCTAAATGATTCTGTGTACTGCTGGAGATAAGCAGCCATGCACAGCTCTAACAAGGCGTTTACTTTGGCACATCTTTTAGGAAGGTTTTCAGTTTAAACCAACAAAGGATGGACTAATTTGGGACATGCAGTAGAATTGAATCCTCAGTTCAAAAAACCCCAAAGCATACTGAAGAAATTTCTGGAAGAAGTTTAGATATATATTACAGTCAGCCCACATTTCTCACAGTTGAATGTTGTCCTAGCAGAGACACCAGAAACAGTGTGAGGATGCAACTGAGCTCTCATACATAGGCAATATGTGTTCCATTTTCATAATTCCATTTCTAATTTTGGAAGGGAATATTTATCCCTTTAATTTAGTATGACAAGCTAATTATTTATCCCTAAACAGTGCCTGATAACAAAGTAACCATGAAACAGATTGACCATCACTGGATACTCCCCTTCCTTGGAGGAAATTAATTACTTTGGTAACCAAATTATACAGAGAAGACTGGTAGACACTCCTGGTGAGCCTACAATCCGTATTATTGATACACAAGAATCGTTTGGAAAACGTTATTGCCTCATGGGAAAAAAAAGAGGGGTGCCTCCCTCTGCAAGGTATAAAGGAGTAGTCCTTTGGCAAGTGGGCAGCAGAATGTAAAACCAGTTTCCTATACCATCTCTCATGCAGATGCATTGGCTTACATTTCCCCCCACATGTAATAGATGCTGCTGCATTATTCCTTCCCTCGTGTAGTACCTGTTGCCAACAGTTTGCCTGCTGTCTCATAACTCAGATATCACAGTATTTTTTGTTCTTTGAAATGTTCTTTATAAACAGCTAATAACTTTTAATTCTATCTTCATTAACCCAGCGTCAGTATGTGCCAGCAGAAGGCTGCTGACAAATTTCGTGGTTCACTGACAAGCATTTTTAGTCTTCACTAGGCTTTTATTAGCATACTGCCTTCAGCACTTTGACAATATTAATGACTTTATGATGTCAAATGGCACTGTTCACTCCTGAGATTATGAAATATTTTAGACAATTGCGAATAGAGCAAACAGTTTATGTAGAAATGCCATTGTTGGCTTATCTTAAAGGTAGCACTCAGGCTAATTTCAGAAACACTCTACAGAAGCAAACCATTGGTAAACAATACCAGTACCTTGCCTGAGCTGCCGTCTCATTTCACAGCCTTCCCCTTGGGTTTTAAGATGTTATGGTTGGGAAGTGAACTTCAGCCATATCAGTTGAGAGAAATACATAAAGGAATTTGAGGCGTGCCTGAAAAAATAATTCTAAAAGTCATGCTCAGAGAACAAACACACTTTTACTTTCAGTAGTGAATCTGCTTTGATTCCAACAGGATCATCTAATGCCCCACATTGTGCTTTTCACATGACAGGCTGTTGTAGTCCCTAATCAGTACCAGTACTGCACTGGAATTTAGAGTGTTAGTGATGTCTTTCTGCAAACATTACAAACACTATCAACACCTCTTTGAAGTTGTTTTTAAAATTATTTGGAAACTCCCCTACAAAAAAGACTTTATACAGCTAATATTTCACACAATTCAACATTGTTCTTGAAAGCATTTGTTATTGTTTATTCACAACACTAATAAACATTGGTTTGAGGCACTGAATAGATTAAACCATAGACACAGTAGGAAAAATATTCTCCCTTCATAAAACTTTGTAGGATCATTTGTTACGGTATCTACTCTTTTGATTTCTTATTTGTGAGCCAGGTTGATTTCATGGAGTAGATGTGTATGTTGCAGCAACATTACTTAGTTACAAAAAAAAGAAGACAGATTATCTTTTTGTTAAGAAAATATTAACAAAAGAGCTATTGCTATTGAAAGCTGCTCTCTTTCTCTGCAGTGTGGAGGTGTTGTACGGGCAAGACTTAAAACAACAGGGGACCTAATTTGCTGAGATGACACATCACCTTACATATATAGAACATCTGTTACCATGCTTCATGGCAGAATCTGCTTGACTGTGCTGGAAGCATTATCAGACAAAATATGTAAGTGATTAAATAAACACGAACTAGCAAACTGTAGCGTATGAAGATAGGCTGAGAAAGTTGGGGCTATTCAGCCTGGAGAAGAGAAGGCTGCATGGAGACCTCATAGCAGCCTTCCAGTATCTGAAGGGGGCCTATAGGGATGCTGGGGGGGGACTCTTCATTCACTCAGAGGGACTGTAGTGACAGGACAAGGGGAAACGGGTTAAAACTTAAACAGGAGAAATTTAGATCGGATATAAGGAGGAAGTTCTTTCCTGTTAGGGTGGTGAGGCCCTGGAATGGGTTGCCCAGGGAAGTTGTGTTCAAGGCCAGGTTGGACGAAGCCTTGGGTGATATGGTTTAGTGTCAAGAGCACACAGTGCTGAGAGTTTTCTACCTGTTTTCCTGACCATTTTTGTTTTCCTCCTTTTGCTGTTTTTCAGAAGTTGCCTTTCCCTGTACCGCTGCTTGGACAGTGAGCCAATGTTTTAGAGTCTTACCAGCACCAGTCATTCGTTTTGTCAAATGCTTTATTTCCTTAAACAAGGTTTTGGTTAAACTGGAGATTACATTTCATAGAAGTTGGCAGGAAGAGTAAGACTGAGAATGCACATCAGAAACACTTTCTAAAGGAATCCAAAAATATAAAGAGAGGTTTTCATTACAACAATGTGATCAATTTAAGCAGGTCCAAAAAGTTTTTAAATGTCTCTTGCTTTTGAAAGACCAAGGTGACTAGTTGTACAGCCTTCCAACAAAGTGTAACATGTACTGCTTCTCTGCAGTAGACAAATTAAGAAGACAAGAGGAAGGAAGAAAGCTTCTTCATGGCAAGCTCTGCAGGCCAGAATCAATGTTGTATTTATATGTATCCACCCCATGTTAAAACCGTATCTCTTGACTGGGGTGACTTTTTTCTGTTTTGAAGCATTAGAAACACAGTTGTTTAGAATTTAATGATCTGAAATAGCTTAACCATGTAGTCTGGATTTTTTTTGGTCATTTTTCAATTTCTGCTTTTTGCTTCTTACCACAGAGCTTCATTGCTTTGCATAGAAATGAGAGTCTATGGATATTTTAATTTATTCCAGCAGAATACAGAATAAAATGAGAATTCTCCTTAAAAATGCAATCAAAACCCAGAAGTTTTGAGAATTGGCCATGTTTCCCTGATCAGTGACTGCTTCCAAAGCCGAAGGGAGACTACTTCAAAAATCTTACCATTTAAACTGAAAAAAAAATAATGCAAACATTGTGTGCAGTCATCAGTGTGGTATTTTAACCCTATTTAACATTTCTCTTTGTTCTGATTTGAGTGAAGAAAAAAGTCTTTCATTCTGGGAAGCTGACACAGAACATGAGCCAACCAAAAGAAAGGGCCAGGAAAGCACAGTTAAGTGAGGAAAAACCCTCAGTTTTTTAAGTGTCATCAGTCTTGGAGCACATCAAACATTCCCATGATGGAGCGAGGAAATGATTTTCCTCAGTCTTACATCATGTATTAGCAAAGTACACTACTCAAAAAGTAGAATGAATTCCAAGTTTGTTTGATGTTTTGTTTTCCTGTGAAGAACCTTGCATTCATCACTGCTTGATGCAAAACACCATCATTTAGCCGGTCAGTACTGTGTACTTCAGTGAAGGTCAGATGCCCACGTTACTAATTCTTGATTAACATGGTTCATACAGTTTTATCCTTATCCCCGTTCACCAAACAAGTACTTTTTCTTCAGTAAACTTCCTCTTGAATCCACTTTTTTTTTTCCTCCCCCCATTACATACAGGAAATGAAGTTAGCACTTCAGCGAAATAGACATATGACCATGGGTCATACCTGTCCATGCACAGCACATCTGCTTTCTGATTTCTAGGTGTCTCCACTGCTAAAATTTCTGTTGAACCAGGCCTCATTTTGTGTTCATCACAATCAATATTAAAACAAGTGTCTGAGTGAGCAGTGGATGAAGTGGAGCTGGATTTCCTTTCCCCATCACAACAACTTTGCTTTCCCCTGTGGTCCACGTGACACTCCTCGTATGACAAGCAGATCACACACTGTAACTAAGTGGATGCAGCACACAAGCTGACCAGGGGCCAGCTGCCTGCCACCAAATGACCAAAAATGACGTGACACGAGATGAGTCAGTGGCTGAGCAGAGTGAGCAGCTCACAAGCACCAAGGAAGGCCTCCATCTCCCCTCTTCCAAACTAGCAGCGAAGGGTGGCAGTTGTCCTCTCCTCTCCCAAGTCCCTTCCACCCTCCCTTGCAGTCTCTCTACTGCTCATCGGATGTTTTGCTGGGCTGACTCGGTGCAAAAGTATCAGCACAAATAATAGAAAACTATTCACTTTTTTTTTCTTTTTCCACCAAGTTATCACACTGAAATGACTCGGCAAAGGACATGACAAAGCATCAGGACTGGGACAAAGGAGGGGCAGGAACATATTGCCCAGGCAAAGGGAAGTGAAAGAGTAAAGAGTTTTCCTCTTTATAAATGTATTTAAATTTAAATATAAAGGGACAGAAAGTAAGACCAAAGGCAGCAGTTGGATCGGTCTAGGCTGCCACTGAACTTCAGATTCAACCAGATGTGCTCATGGGGACATCCCATAGGTGCAAGAGCTGGCAAAAAGTAAGAGGAGACAACACACAGCTTAAAGACAGAAAAGGAAGGGAGAGCAGGACCTTTGCCTCTGGTAGTGGTGGACTGTTAGATAAGCCCAAGCCACCTCATTATGACTTGTTTGGTATGGTAGTACATAATGACCAAGTCCTTTCCACAGCATGGGCATTGATTTGTCTGTCTTCCATCGATTTTCAGGAAACTTTCAAGAATTTAATTATACTTGAAACTTCTATTCTTTTGCCTATTCATCTGAGCAAGTTCCAAAGTATTCCTCTGGGGAGAGAAGGAAAATCTGACTGACACTTTAAACAATTGGGTAAATCTGTTCCCATAGGAAACAAAACAAAAAATAATACACACCTACAAGTGGTCCTGCCATTAAAGGGATGCTGTCAACTGCAATTAATTTCTTTAACCAATTGAAATAGGAAAAATGTTTTGAGATAGAGTTCTTTAATATCTCCTCTGTAAAAGACTATCCCTTTTGCAGGTGTTTCTTTTTCATCCCACTTTTCACTTGGGGCTATAGAAGGGACTGGACTCCTGACTGAAAAAAGAATAACCACAAATATGCTCCAATTTATCCAATTTACAACCTTCCCCACCCCCACACCTCTGTGTATGTTTCCTGAACACCTCTTTCTTTCTCTTCCCTGCTGTCTCAGCAAACAGCCACTTCCAGTACTGGGGGAAAGTAGGATCTTGTGCTCTGCGGTGGAGCATAAGTGATTCCATCCAGCTCATCCAGAAGTGTGACGTTCATTTGGAGAAAAGCCTTCTGTATAATTTTAGTTGTGGGCTGTTTCACCGTTCTGAACGATACATTGGGAACATTTACATCAGAACCATCCATTGCTGTCAGCAGAACACATCCATGATGTGTGCTTATATGGATTGACACAAGATATATAATAGCTTTCCTGGAGAAATTGGGCAATTAGAGACTTCTGTATATCCCAGAGGGGGGCTGTCTGCATCATTAAACACTTAAGTAGGGCATCTCAAAATGGAGCTAACTGCTTCTGAAAATCTCTTTAATGTTTTGTTGTTAAAATTCAGCATCATTAATGGGGAACATTTATAATATTATATCATTTCTTTCTCTCTTGCCTTAATTTTCTCTCCCGTACTCTTTTCCCTGCCTTCAACTTGGCTTTGTGTCTCTTCCAGACCTGCCCATCCCCCCCTGCATATACTTCATTTCAGCAAACAGCAATGTGTGTCATGGGTTTCATACCCACCCTCTTTCCCACCTTCCTACCATAAAACAATGAGCAAAACCAATAAGGGAGAACAGGTCATTTCACACCTCTCAGAGATATTTTCAGGACAATATGTCCTGACAGACTCAGGGGTGGGGCACTGCAAGGACTGAATTGATTTCAAATTTGGAACCCATCCCCACCAAATCCCTGCTCCCCCAGCCAACAGGATGAAAAAAATATTTCATTTACTTGATAATTTAGACTCCATAGGATCTGAATATTCAATGAGCTCTGTATACAACGGACTAGATGTGACTCATGAATCATATGGCTGACAACACTGCAGTAGAGAAAGGAAGTCTGACAATCAGCAGAAACGTGATACTGATCATACACAAATGTGGTCAGAGGCATAAACCAGAAACATTCTTCTGCTATTTTTGATCATTTATTTACTATAATTATCATTCCCATATTTGTGTGAACACTTAAATGGATGGGTTTTGCTCAGAAGCCCGCACCCAACTAGGCATGTGTTTATGGCACCAAAGTTTTAGCAATTACCTCTACGACTAGATGATGCAACATCTGATGGAAATGCAGTTTTCACTTAATAAATGTGTATTTCATATTGCAGTCAATGTGATGGCCCACTTTTAAGCATTCTCAGAAGTTTATCTTCTTCAAATATACCTTACTGGGCCTCATAAGACGTACTTCTGTTTTTTTCCTATGATTATTAGCCATTCATTATTTTAACCAATAATTATTCTTCAAAAAATTCATGCACTTCTTGTAAGAAAAGGTACAGGATTACTTACATGGTTAAGAGATGGTTTTGGCCAAGATTCTGGGAATGACTTTAGAACATATGGCTTTAGAACATATGCTTTTTTACACTAAAATAGGAAAATGAGTTTACAAATCTGAATTTTTGTAGAACTATACTAATCTACTCACATAAAATAATTCTGATGAGCAAATGGCAGTCTGCAGTATAATCACATCTTAAACCAATAAGACCATAACCAGGAAATCCAGGAAGACCATTCAGAATGCTAAAGAAAATTATTCATGCAATAAATAATATGCAAAGGTTAGTCTTGGAGGCATTATAGATTGGTTTGTTTTATTTGATTAAAAGGAATATAGGTACAGAATATTAGCAGGAAAATAACAGGAAAAAAGAAAGGAGGTTGGGAGAACAATTTATACTCAGACT